AATTTAAATGTCAGATTACTAACTGAAAGAAGATTACTACTTAATTTAGGAACATGAAGGGCAGAAGATAGTTTAATATCATCAAATAATCTGATGTTCCCCATACCAGTAATGGCAGCAAAAGAGCTAGGAATTATAGGCACCTTGTCCTACTAGAGCAAAGATTATAGGATGAAAATTAGGATCAGACACTAGTCATATGATTACATGTACCTGAGCCAATAATCCAGGAAATACTATCATTACCTTTCATAGAGGCATGATTTGCAGTGGCTCTGATACCTGTATGGGCAAGGGTAGTGGCTCCTCCAGTGTTGGATGGTTGTAGTTGCATTTGCTATGCTATTCTCTAGTTGATTAATGCATCTGCTATATCTCTCCATCTCTACTTTAGCAACTGCAAGAGTCTCCAAGGACCAGGGATAAAGTTCCAATTTCCAGGAGTATTAGTAACATCCTCTATAACACTAGTATCTGCATTTCCTTTCTTATTAGTAGCATCCTCTATTCTCAAGTTGAATAACAGTAATATCGGCATTCTCTTTATCTGTAATTACAATGAATGAGCTAAAACATCCCAGCCACTCTAATTTAAGTGTGGTCCCAACAACTTAAACAGAATTAACAACTTAACATAAGCCCATTAACTAAAGGTCCAATAACAAACGGAACAAATAGAGAACAATAACTAATGTCTAAGAACTAAAAGCCCATTGGAGTATTGGACCCATTACACAGGCATGTCATGTTGGCTGTACAAGCAGCCCACAAACTCATCAATATACAAGAATTGTTGTGCCAAGCACCCCCTTCTAGTCTTGTTATAGTCCATGTACCATATACCAATTTTTGTTACAATAAGTCCCTAAGGGGAGCCCCAAAACAATTGTTCCCTGTTAATTCCTTGTCTTGCCAAGGCATCAACCATGCAATTGGCAGATCTCTGAGTCCAAACAAGGTTGTATTTAATCCACTTGCCAGTTTTGTAACTTCCCTCATGAGATTTGTATTTCCAGGTTTCCAATATGTTATCCCTGAACCAATTCACTGCAACCACTGTATCTACCTCAATCATTATATTTCTGTAGTCAAGAGATCTGCCCAAAAATGACCAAAAAATTATGATATCTAAATACTTGTATATGGTTTAGTCATGTATAGAGAAGATCATCTACAGCACCCATGATAAGAAGTGGTCTGTTACAAGTTGAGGAGGCTACAAGAGCTAGAGGCAGATTGAGAAGAACATGGGTTGATGCAGTAAAAAATGATTTAAGAGCTCATATGTAATAATGGATACAACACTGAATAATTATCAAAAAAATAAAGGATACAACACTGAACAAATTGAATGACAAAACAGGATTCATATAACCGAGCCCATATAGTTGAGTTGAGACAAGGCTTGGATGATGATGATGATGATGATATGCTTTGCTTCCATATGTTTTGCATTCCCACATCAAAATAATAAAATAATACCAGAAACTTCTTAAATATAAGTTTACTTTAATCTCTAACGCTTTCATGTTTGTTTTGTAAATAAAAGTATAGAGATGATATATATTTTAACAAATTTCACTAGAGAAATCATTAATTTTAGGAAAATACAAGTCATTGTCATCATATTCATCCATACTGTATCCCAACTATATGGGATTGGCTATATGAATCCAGTTTCACCAATCTGTTCTATTTAAAGCCACATCCACTGTTAAATTGTTAGTGCTTAAATCATTTATTACTACTTCTACCTATGTCCTTTTTGGTCAACCCCCTAGCTCTTCAAGACCCTTCCATTTGTAACAAATCACTTCTAATTAGAGCTCTTGGTGGTATTCTATGCATGTACCAAACCATACCAAACCATCTCTCTCTCTCTCTCATTTTATCAATTATTAGAGCTACTCCTAGGTTTCTATGGATAACTTCATTCGAATCCTATCCTTTCTAGTTTTTCCACTCGTCCATCTTAGCATTTAGATTTTTTTCCACACTCATTTTCTGAACATTGTTTCTTGACTGCAAAACACTGCTCCATACAACATAGTTGGTCTTACAATTGCTTTATAGAATTTCCCTTTTAATCTATGCAGTACTCTCCTATCACTCAAAAGTTCAGATGCAGCCCTCCATTTTGCCTAACCTGCTCTAATTCTTTGGGTGATAACCTCCTCAACTCTTTCTTGTTATGAATTATTGAACCAAGGTACCGGAAATGGTCACATTGAGTTTTCTCTTGGCCTCCAATCCTAAGTGCATCTTGATTTACACTCCTATTATTATTAAATTTACATGTCATGTACTTTGTTTTAGTCCTACTTATTTTAAAACCTCTTGTTTCTAGGGCATTTGTCCATTAGCTTAATTTTGCGTTTAATGCTTCATTATTTTCATCAATTAAAACAATGTCATCTGCAAACAACATGTGCCATGGAACTTCTTCCTGAATATGTTTAGTCAATTCATCTATGATCAGTGCAAATAGATAAGGGCTAAATGCTGAACCTTGGTGAAGACCCATCATAACTGTAAAATTTGAAGCCTCTCCCAATAGTGTTCTAACATTGATTGTATCCCCCTCATAAGTCTTTTCTGGATCAATAAACACCACATAAAGTATTGAAAAATATTTAGCTTGAAGAGTAAGAGATAATATGGTATCAACATATTGGGCAGTGGTTTAACTGAAAGATCTCCAGTGCCACAGGAAGAGTGCATTCCAGTTTCCCATGGCAATATCTGGCCCCATGGCTGAATTTATTTGACTGTTCAATATCTGCCCCATTTCAGTGGTCAAACTGTTTACGGCTGTTCAGGCAGAAACACGCCCAAATCCTACACTGTTCAATTACAGATTCACACCCGAATATGAAAATCCTTGATTTCTAAGAGTATCTCAAGACAGTATCACCATTATAGACCCTAATAGATCCATGCATGTCAGCTGTCTTGACCACCTTTGCCACAACTATCCCATGCTGTAATGTGCATTTCTTCAGAACCACAAAATAAATGCTACTTCATCTGCTCAATTTTCAAAAATAGCAGAACAATGGCAATAGTTCACTGGCTTCCAGATTGAACAGCTTGCCCAGATGGGCCCCTAGATCAGCAAACTCTTTGTTTTATCTGTAGTAGAACAAACTTGTATTTGGAAGAAGAAAACTCAGGCTAGCTGTATATACTTTTGAAATTCTGTTTATGTTTTGTGATGCATGGTTGGTAGTTGGGTTAAGCTAATCCCAAATAGTTAATATTAAAGCTGAGTTGAGTTACAGTTGTTGGTTGTCAAAGTAGAAATCACTGTTTGGAAATCTAGATGAATTCCTTGTGATGAGAAAGAAGAAGAAGATGAAGAGTTTCAGCAGCAGAGAAGAAAAGAGAAGAAAGAAAGAGTAGGATGTCGACCAGAACTGAAATTAGTTCTGGCCACCAACCCCTCATTATATTTTATACTTAATTTAAAAGAATAAAAGATTACAAGAATGCCCTTAATAGGGCAGCTACTAAAGTAGCTGAACAGTCACAACTTAAAAAACATAAGCTAATGGGCCTAAAACCCAACAACTTCCTAACTTAACAACTTAAAAATATGAGCTAAATAACTGGGCCCAATAACTAGAAGTCGGCCCAACACAACAGTCAACATATTCCCTTCATTCATCTTATGTTTGGATATAGGGAACCCACTTATTTTGTCTTTAATTTCGTTTAGTAACAATTATCTATTGATCTGGTTGCTGATGAAACTAAATAATGATGCCACATTGACTTCTTCAATTAGGGGCCGTTAGTTGGTACAATGGTAAAATATTGGGCTGGCAAGCATGAGAATATGGGTTAGAGTCTGCGAGCAGCCACTTTGTGCAGAAAATGCCAAAGGTTAGGACTGTGTCCAGTCTACCCCAATTCTAGGGATACTAGAGTTTGGGTTTGTGAATTGTGAGAAGGATGGCCAGTTTTCCACCAAGTCATGCTATTTAGCTTTTATGGGCCTGGGTGAGAAGGTAGTTTGGCCTTGGATCTGGAAAGATCAAGTTCCATCCAAGATCAAGTTTTTTGTTTGGTTGGCTGCTAAAAGGTTCAGACAACTGCATCTTTGTTGAGGCACGGAATGGAGCTGGATGGCATCTGTAGTCTTTGTAGATCAGCCTCTGAATCTGTCCATCTCTTAATTCATTGCCTCTACACTTGCCAGCTATGGTGCCATTTCTCCAAGCTTTTCCGGCTGTGTTGGGTCCCACCATTTACTGTTGCAGAATGCAAACCTTATTTCTGGGTGGAGGGCCGGCTGCTTATCTGACAAAGTGACAATGGTAGATTGCTTTGGAACATCTTATTATTTGCAATTTCTTGGCTAATAATGAAGGAGTGAAATCAAAGAATTTTTAAGTCCAAGGCTGAACCAATGGATGCTATCATAGGAAAGGTAGAAAGGATCAAGTTGAGCTGGGCTGGCAGCTCAAGATTTTTTGGGGGCGTTCCTACCAATTTCTTAACTGACCACTGGCAGTCTATCATTTTTTGAGTTGTTGTGTAAAGGCTTCCAGTGTACGTGATCTGTGCATAATCATAGGAACACTTCTCTATACAAGTTGTGGGTGTCTCGCCCTCCTTTTTTATTATTAATACAATACCTTTTATACCACTTATCAAAAAAAAAAAAGAAAAGAAAAGACCCCAGATAGCTGGGACCAACATTGGATAATGGCCTTTACATTGACTTCTTCAATTGAGAAACATTTATTGTCATTGATGCTATTTTATTTCTTGCAAGTTCAAAATATGACTAGAATACAACGATTGTAAGTTTGCTGTTGTAAGTTGAGGGAAATACCAACCCCCAACAGCAATATCTTTGGTGATTCACAAAGATGTAACAAAATTTACACATTAATGAAAAATATCCGTTGCAAAATGACATGTTTCATTATCAGTAACACAATTAATTAGAGATTAATGATATGCAAGGAAAATAAAGAGCACAGAACAGAATCTCACATGAAATACAAAGAGAGAATAATTGGCTACGGTACCAACCTTCATAAACAAATAGTTGGTATCTAGATTCTCTCCTTTTAAATTTATAGGTATTATAATATAAAACATTGTAATTCTGGATAAACCCTCATGAATGTTTGGAGCTTTGGAGCAAGAAGTTCAATAAGATGCAACACAGTAAATTTCTAGTGAGGAGAGAAATACACAAAATATATAAAAAAAGGCCTCTTAAAATAATGAAGTTCAATGTGTCTCATCAATGTCATTAATGTAAACTGAACGTTTGCACCTTTCTCCTTAGAAAGAGGTAAAAACATAGCATTCACTCTGTATAGGCCATTTAATCAATCCATCTTTGCTTGCTTGGTCATCATCTAGTTCTGTCTTGGCCTACAAGATAATGGCAATGGCAGAGTGGCCTATGTGAGAAAAAGGCAAATAATAAAAGCTCATTTTTAATACTTAATTTGATTTGAAAACCAACATTTTCATATCCTGATGTATAATAATTGTTAGGAGTAGGAATTGATCTCTCCTTCGTGTTTCAACTCATATTTCTCCCACACAGGAAAGAAAAATTCACTTAGAAAAAAACTAAAGGAAGACCGAAGACAAGGGTGTCAATAAATTAACACTTTAAGCTTTGCAATGGACAATGGTTGTCTAATCCCTAAAACAAGAGTTAATTACAACAGTTTGGTAAGCTATTTATAAAATTTACTCTTTACTGTGAATGCAGGAGATCATGACAACTAGCATAGGGGACAAATGCATAAATCTCAACCAAAACCAAAGTTCCCCATAAATATAATAACACTGCAAGAGAATAGCATTATGCCTACAATATCATTAAATTAACATACACATGAATTACAATATGTGGTCAAAATACAGGATTCATGACATAATATTGTTTCTGACTACTATGACCCGAATAGAGATTCCTGTAAACCCCTGCCTATATAAGCTTAATATTGAACCCCTAGAACCTATCCATCTGTCTCAAATCCTGTGTAATGGCTTCCTACATTAACCATTGACATGCACCCCCCTTTAGCCACTTTTTTTTTATTTTTGAAATTCATTTTTTTTATACAAAACCCCTTCCCTCTTTCTTCTCTATTCTCTCACACATCACCTTCCTCTCTTCTGTCTGACTACAGCTCTCTTATCTCACACAAGACCTTCCCCATTCTCTCAAGGAGGATCATTAAAATGGACAGAGAATCATAGACCTTTCCTTTCTTCTTCATCATCTCTCTCTGCTACATAGGTCTTAACCCCACGAACAAATCCATGAATCCCCATACTTTCACCTATGGAAGGAACATTTTCTAGATGTGATGTATTTTGTCTTGCAGCTACTTACCCTCTGTGAGTTACGGTAATTCTAATTGAAAGACTTCAAATTAGGTTCATGATCCCCATCATTTAATCCTACTCCGTCTCCCCAGACTGAAGGGTTGTTATCTCTCCTCACTGTCCTAGTTGGCCAAAGAAAAAGAAAAGAGAGGAAGATTGAAGAAGGGAGGGGGTTGTACAAGAGGAAAGAGAAGGAAGTAAAGGGATAGAACTGAGTCACAAGTTGGTCAGTGTCTAACTGTGATCACATGTGAAATGTGTTTGCACAAGGTTTGGGACAGATTGGGCTTTAATCCTATTGGGTTAACAGAGAAGTTTATGGCCAAGGGTTTTGAGCAGATCCGGACTCCTATGATCCATCCTATTCAGAACCTATATCTCAACCAAAATCAGAAACTCCATTACATAAGAATTCACAAAAAAGCATAAACCAAAACCAAAACTCTTTACATATATAATGGCACTCCAAGAGCATAGCAACATGACTTCAATGCCTTTTACATAGATATGATTTAAAACATGAAGATAAAATACAGGATTCATGATAATCATGTGTATCACTATAGACTATGCAGAACATATCTATAGATGTCAATCAAGAGTCAAGACCAGAACTCCATTAAAATAAGAGATCACAATGAAGCACTAATAAACCCAGTACTAGTCCCTCAATGTGTCTAGTTTGCATCAATAACTAAGTTAACCTTAAGAAGTTTACAATACAAAGTTCCAAACTTAGTAGTGTACATAAGCTTCATGGGTATAGTGCTTTGTTTGGGCTTTGGACACCATATTCCAGCCTAGACAGGTTGTTTATTTACAATTTTACATTTAGGGAAATTGGAATATTTTCTAATCTACCAAGAATCAGAAAATCCATTTTGCATATAAAAAGTTGAAAAAAAACTTGTATTTTTTCATTTTAACATGATATTAAAGGAAACATACCTTTACCATGAACAAAAAAGATGGATATTATGACTCTTGACTTGATGGGCTTGTACATTGAGAGTGACCACTTAATGAGTTGGTGGATTCTAGACCTGTTCATGGGCCGGGCCGGGCCGGGCCAGGCCGGCCCGTCGGGCCACCCAGCCCATGAACGGGTCTAGTGGATTCCAAACCTTGTTGGACGAGACAATAGGATGAGTGAATTCCTCTGTACTTTATATTTTAGTTGGGCATGGCAAGAACTAGTTAATGGTCTATGACATTTGGATACCTTTACAAGGGTGCCATATCATGGTGGATGCTTCAATTTTTAGTGTGAATTCCATGTTCAACATGTTATCCAGCTATGTCATTTCTGTATCTAGGTAACGTAATTTAGGGTGATGGTTTGGTACAGGAACCAATTATAATAATTCCAAAGTTTGTTGGTAGTTGGTATTTTGCCTTGCATAGTCATTTAATAATCAAATTAAGTTATGGCTATCTGCAGTCTGCTAGGTTTTGAGTAGTAGGTCTTGATGTGTGTGTCTTTTTTTTCTTTTTTTTTGAGAAAAGACAAGGTAATCTCAATGCAAAGAAAAATATAGTAAAATAGAGACAGCAGGGGAGCAGGCAACCCCTGCAGAGCAACAACATTTTTTTGGTAAACAGTAAACTACAACATTATAAGCCCCAATGCAAATTTACATTCTGTAATAACACCCCCCTCCCCAACACAGACACAAAGACTAACCCTGAAACTCTTTAGATGACACTGAGACCCCTAACAAGCTCATCCACAGCTCTACTCTTATTATAGAAAACCATCCTGTTTCTCTCAGCCTACAAAGTCCAAATAATGGCATCTGGGGCCACCTCTCAAATCTTTTCACCTTTCCCAGCTAAACCTTGAAAGGCCAGGCAAGTAGTACCTCTTTGAGGGTCCTTGGCATCACCCAATACAAGCTAGCTGCCTTAAGAAAGTGCAACCAAAGACTTTGAACGACCTGGCAGTGGATGAAAGGACGATCAGCACACTCCCACACCAACCCACAAAGCCCATACAAGCTGTCTTGGATCTGCATACCCCTTCTTGCCAAAGTTTCCCTTTTTAGGCACCTAGCAAGCACAGCTGACCAAACTAGGAAGCCCACCTTAGAAGCAATCTGAGACTTCCAAATCAAACTGCAAGGGAATAGAGCCTTGGTCCACAGAGGTTTATCTCATAGGATCTGACAGAAAACCTACCACTGTTCTCCCATTTCCATCTCCATTTATCAACCTGCCTAGGTCTCACATTTTGAACTCTCAGCAACTGCAATAGCTCCAACACTTCCTCCACTTCTCAGTCCTGAAAGTTCCTGAAAATATTAGATGACCATGCCACAAAGCTGCCAAGAATATGGTAAGAATCTTCCACAGTTGCATCCTTATTCTTGGTGATCTGAAAAGGATGAGGGAACAACTTAGCATGAGAACTGTAACTACACCTCTTATCCAGCCAAAACCTCAACCTACTACCATCACCCAAGCTGTAAGCTATCCCTTTTGAAAAAGAGTTGTAGAACTTCACCATCCCCTTCAACATAGAGCAGCCACAGAAAGTGAATTTCCAACACCCAACCTCCACTGGAAACACCAAACTTAGAAGCTACCTCAACCTACTACCATCACCCAAGCTGTAAGCTATCCCTTTTGAAAAAGAGTTGTAGAACTTCACCATCCTCTTCGACATAGAGCAGCCACAGAAAGTGAATTTCCAACACCCAACCTCCACTGGAAACACCAAACTTAGAAGCTACCGACCTCCTTTACCACATCCCCTTCCCATCCCAAGCCTCCACAACCATTTAATGCTCAGGCTCCCTTCCTTGTGAGGAAGGCAGATATGATACCAACTAACCTCATGAAAATTGTTTTCCTCCTGCCACCCATACCACAAGAAATCCCTCTGAAACTTTTCTGTTCCTTTTGCTATCTTCAAATGGATGGCGATCAAAGACATAAAGTGGAGAGATGGGCAAGAAAACTTTTAATTAAAGCCATCCTGCTACCCTCGGATAGGAACTTTGCCTTCCAAGAGGATAGATTTTTCTCCATCCTTGATGTGTTTTTCTCATGACCTTTGTTTTTAGTTATCAGTGAGATTTGTTGTCTCATTGGTATTGGGATGGTTGTATATTTATACATTTCGCACCAAACTTTGTTTTTGCTTGAACTGCAAAGCTCTTTTTTCTTTCTAGTACTCCCATTCATTTCCCTTTTAAGCTTGTATTTATTTTACCATAAGAAAATTAAATTAACCAAGGAATCAGAACAAAAGTTAACAAGGAACCAGGCTGACCTGCAAATTTCAGGATCAGGTTGGCATATACAACCTGTTAAAAACAAGCATATTTCCACTTGTTCCCTTAATAACCATAATCAGCCCCATTCTATTACCCAAATAAAAAAGAAAAGATAATGAAAAAGACCAAGCCATAACTGCATCCAGAGTCAATTTCAATGAAAGTGTAAAATTTTTCAATAAATCTAAGGCATCCATGCCACCCACAGTTAACCAAACTTGATCTAAAATCCTTGAGGCCATTTACTAGGGAACCAGACTGGTCCAGACGTAAACTACTCCACTCAGGACACAAACCAGGCATCAACATATGCAGGGAAAAAGAACGCTATACATGTTAAAAAGAAAGTAGTTAGGGCTTAGGAGGTTACAACAAACAAACCCCTGAAAAGAGCTTGGCTTCACTTTTTTTTTTATTTGGGTATTTGGTGCTATGCACCATTAATAACTTCCTCCTGACCCCTTTTTCCCCAAAGTGCTGGTTGTGGGATTTGATTCCGCATCAATGCTGGAATAAACCAGCTAGCACACCAACAAGCCAGCCCTCGGTTGGTAAGAGCTTGGCTTCAGAAGTTTTAACAGTGGTGCCCCTGGACATGGGAATGGTAACCTAATTTCACATAATTAATAGAAAAACATCCCGTTTCAAGTTATAGTATCATAGCTACAGCTATGAGTAAAATAGAGGCTATAGCTACAAAACAAACATGGGATAGCGGTTAACAAGAAGCCATCTTCCAAATTAACTAATAATTTGGTAATGTACTGCCTTTTTTTGTTCTCTGTTTTTTAGGGGTGTTTTCTTTGGATTCTTTTTAATTTTTTTTTATCATTGAATTTGTACGCTCGTTCTTTTGACATTCCAATATCTATCACAAAAAAGATAACTTAGCAAGCAATGGATGGGTGCTAGTAGTAATTGGGATTCTATTAAAATCATGTTTGGGCATACAGAAGCTAGTAGTATCAAGTATCAACTATAGAGTCAAGTTAACAAGTATGGTTTATTCCCCTAATGGAGAAGAGATATTGAGAACACAAAATCCATGCCGATGTAACTGAGTGGTTTCTTGATAGTTCTCTGTTTTTCATCTATTCAAAGAGTATGTATTTACTAAGTTTTTGAGTACATAATTAAACAACAACCAATTTAACTTCTTATTTACCATGTCATTAGTCTTCAAAACAAAAGCAAATAGGAGAAAATAAACTATGGAGAAAGCAAATAGAGAAAATAATATGGCTACTTCAGATTCTCAGAAAAAGTAGAATGGACATCAGCACCCTTTTCTCACTTGTAACTTGTAAGTGTACCTAAAAATCAAAAATTAATGTTTTGTACTCTTCTCTAAGTTGTCAAGGCGACGCCTAGGCGGCAAGGCGCCCTTTGAGGCTCGCCTCGCCTAATCGCCAAGCAGTTTTGTACTATGTATTGTAAAATACTTTTTTATTCTTTATTTTTTGACATTATAATTATGAAATACTACTACTACTTTTTCTTTTCTTCTTTTCCTATAACAAAAATAAGGGTTCAGCCCCTATATTTTTTGAATTTTCTTTTCCATATTTTTTTCTTCTCATGAATATGTTGATTTTCTATACTTTAACATGAACTCTGTACTTTTCTTATGAATAATTATTAAGGAAATATGGCTATGGTACCTAGGGAACTACCCTAGGATCTATATTTTCTATATAATAAAAAAAAATCCATCGCCTAGGCAACTAGGCGACAAGGTGCCCCCCTAACACCTAGCCTCACCTTGGCACCTTGAAAACTATGACTCTTCTTTGATTCAAGCACTTCATTTACCAATCAAACAAACATTGACACTTCTTACAGACCTAAATAACCTACCTAAAGCCTACAAGTACAAGAAATATTGTAAGACCTAAACTCAAGTTTCAAACAGACAAAATGCTTATTTGTATAAGCAATTAAGCATCATAATCAACTTCAAGCCACTATATAACCCAAAATATCAGGAATTTAAGCTTTACAATAGCTGCAATTTTAACCCATAAATAATTGTAAAGAGGACAATTACAATTTCAGTTCCTTTTAGAAAAAGGCCATTACCCAATGTTGGTCCCAGCTATGTAGGGTCTTGGGGGGGTGGACTAGATACAGTCCTAACCTTTGACATTTTTTGCACAAAGTGGCCACTCTCAGACTTGAACCCATGTTCTCATGCTTGACAGCCCAAGATTTTACCAGTACAATTAATGGCCCCTATAATTTAAGTTCTTTAAAATATTAAAAAACTTAAGGCCCTTGTACACAGAAAGAATGTAGTATACACAACCATATTGTGCCACAACCTTTTATTTTATCAATATTGTGCCACAACTTTTTTCATAGTAATTAAAGTGCTTATGCAAGCACCAAGCAGTGTTTAGAAAGCAAGAAGTGCAACTAAAGCGCCAAGAATTCCTAGAGCTCAAAGTACAAAGCAAGGCATGGCAAAGTGAAGTGAGGCATCACTTTTGAGAAAAGAAAGTTAAAAGAATTTGATATGTAAGGACATGCAAGTCCAAGTTCTGAAAAAAGATAAAATATTTCAAAGAGCTTATTATAGGTTATAGCAAATGTTATTAAAAGAAAGGTTGTAACCATTTTATTACCCAAACAAAGATTGTAACCTAGGTTTGAGTTCCACATAAGTTAAGCTGTTTAAACTCTAAAAATCATAGTTACAAACTACAATATAGTAAATTACCTATTCAACCATCAAATTCAATGTTATCATAAAAACTTAGCATCAAGCCAGGTTATGCGCACCTAGGTTCAGGCAAGATCTGACCTACAAAATGGGCCTTGACTACGAACATATGCCACACCTAAGGTGTACTTCTCCTCTTATTAAAATTCATCCATCTCTCTTTTAAAACAAGTGTTCACTAATTATTGAAACCCAAAACCAATTCCAAGTGTTCACGTAGACAGCTAATGCAATTGACCCATCAAACGGTTTTACATGAAATACTGCAGAACCCAATGCGTAGTTAAAACCCATTTAATAGCATTGCATAATAATATGCTCAAATAAAACCTAGTAATCAACCTAGCTCCATAGAAAAGGTCATAGAAATTTTAATCACACATACACTCAATTACCCATTTACTGTTAGCAGTATAACGTTAATAATCCTGCAACAGGTTCACTTTTAACAAAAAAGTCGAGCGGGTAATACCTTCAGGAAGCCAACCGTAACCCCGACGATGAGAGACCGACAGCATTGAAGTCAGCAAAGCGGACGCAGTGGCAGTGTGGTGGGGCATCATCGACTCGACACAGCAGCTCATCTCAACGGGAGACCTTTGAGATTATCGTAAAAATCACTTGAAAAGAACTTGGTAAATAGACTAATAATAGAAAGAAAAGTGATAGATGAGAATGTGGTTATAGCTAACCTGAAGAGGCGATGAGAGAGATTTTTCTGCTTGGAGATTCGAAAGGAAGATCGAGCAGCTTTGGTTTCAGTTGCAATTCTGGCCGCTGCATTGCGGACGATGGTGGAGCGGAGGACGGACCTGGTGCAGCCGACGGCGAGAGCGGTCACCATTGTAGCTTGAAACGTGAACTATAGAGTGCCTTTGGGGTTTTGGGTTTTTGCAGGCACAAAAACTGAAAAACCCTGAAGTGAAAAGGGTCCCGCTGAGTCGCTGAAGTCCAACTCGGCGTTGGCTTCGTCGGAATTCTTTGCGCGTGGACTCGTTGGAATTCATTGCGAGTCCACATTGTCTTCCACAAGTTGCACCCTGGAGAATTGGGGATAACCAAAGAAATGAAGGAGTAAGAGAATTGTGATTTATAAAGCAAAAATATTACATCCATGTATAAGAACAAGAAGTAGAAGCATTAAACAAATTGCAAAAACATCATGAAAATAAACTCAAATAAGGAAATAATCATTATCCATTGAGAGGAATAGCAGAATAAAACTACAAAAGCAAAAGATGGAAATGCCAAACAAACGAGAATTAACCTTGTTAATATGGACAAACTTAAACAGAGCCAACAAAAAATAGAAAAATAGCAAATGATGTGTTATTGAAAAAATTAAAAAAAAAATGGAAATTCGATACTTGGTTTACAATGGAATCAATATTTAAAAAATTAGATAAATTCTTCTTCTTCTTCTTTAAATATGGAATAACTCTTCTCTATTGGACCATCATATCTGTATCATTCTAAATGTTTTTTTCATCTTTTGAAAAGAAAGACTTTTTTCCCTGGGCATTTTCAATCTTAAAAGTTAAAACATGTAACGGTTAGGTGAATTAAGAATAGTCAAGCTGGGCTATATTGTGCCAACTTTGATTAATTTGCAATTTGGATTGGATTGGGTTGGGCTCAATCCAAACTCACTGGGCCATCCATGTTATAAACTTAGAAAATAGATGATGCTTAATATCATGGAAACACAGAAAAAGAGCCAAATGAGATGACTTTTAACTGGAGAAGCTAATTCTCAGCCAGATGCATTTGAGATACCCCTTTACCATGGGACTGAAATATAACTAATTTGATTTTTTTGGACTTAGTAGTGATTTTCATTTTACATAGAACGGAGTTTGTAGTTAGCCTTATGATATCAAGTTATCAACAACCAATGACTGTTTGCAAGTTGTGTTGACCGATTAGAAGAATTCCAATTAGACACAAATGGCTAACTGATGGGTGGTTCAGTTGGTAATATTTGGGATGTTAGATGGTTTGCTCCATTATAGAAGTGGATTCGATTCCTACAATCACTGATTTTGCGGAGGGGTTGTTAGGGGTGAGCAAAAAATTAAATCGATTGAAAAAACTGACTGAAATATCAAATCAAAAAATCAGTTAATTGAACCGATTGGTTTGGTGTTTTAAAAAAATCAAAGATACGGTTCAGTTCAGTTAATCAATATAGAAAACTGGCAGTTAACCAAATCGACCGGTATACATATATTTCTATATATTTTATATATTTATGTATATTATATATTATAAATTAATAAATATATTATATATTTATAATATATGATATATTATTTATTATTTAAAATATAATATTTTATATATATTTATAATTTTTTATTATATATTTATAATATATTATAAAAATTAAAAAACCGATGAACCAAACCGGTTAACCGATTGGTTTCGGTTTTGGAAAACCAATAATACCGATTCGATTACAAAAAAAGACACACAGTTCAGTTAACCAAATCGTGAACACCCCTAAATGATGTATAACACTAAATACCAAAAACATTCCAACTACATCGGGCTTGGATTATAATTTGGGTCCATCGAAAATTTAACAAATTCCCAGTACAACCCAACGCAAGTTGCACTTCTATCCTTACCAAAGTGGTGGAACAATTTTGTTGCAATTAAGGCTCAATTTGTATGTGTACTTCATCCAAACTGAGCCTAATGTGCAATTGTGAAAACTATTATTACGGCAGTAGACTGTAGGCCTGACCTTTGAAGACAACGAAGCGCTATTCCCTTGTTAATTTTTATTTAACATCTGGCAAATTTGCTATGTTTATAAAAACCCTAGTGCAAGCAGGATTTGATACTCAACCAACCATTGACATGCAAAACCTGAGTTAGGATCTACTTCTTACAAAGAGTGTCTCACACCAATTTCACAGCACGTTTCCATCGTGCACCTAAAACATCTTAATACTTGTACATTTTTAATTCATATGCACAAAACCTAGTATTGTTTCCTAGTATTTGTAAGGTCGTTGTGAGGTGGATCCGATCTCACAAAACCTAACCGTCTCCTATGTAGACAAGATTCTCATACCAATTCTCTCAGTTTCAATTATCTACAATTTCAATCATAGTATTGTTTCCAATCATGATACACCACATAAGCTCCATGTAGGGAAGGGTTCGTAATTAAAAAATTGAGTATCGGTTGATAATTCCACCCTATCGTTTAAATACATTAAAATCATTATTGTCATTTAAAAGTGTTAAATTATAAGTATTTAATGTATTTATGACTCTTAAAACTGATACATATGCTATGATACACACCAATGCATTAAGATACTTTAAACCTTGATTTATTAACTCTGTGATCCATCAAGACGTCAGTTCATCTAATTCAAGGTGGGCTACTTCAATAAACCAATGGCTTTGAATTTGTTGTTTGAGGGCAGCACTACAATACTGTCCCAGCAAATGTGAGTGGAATTGTCATAGGGTTATATGGAAATTCAACAACCTAAAGAAGTAAGAAGGTCCCTTTACTTAATTTGGATGGACCAACAAGATATATTGAATTGGACCTGGTCTATTTATAATGAATTTATATTGGATTGACTTGGATTGAGTCAATATCTGATCCATTGATATAAAATAAGAATATGGGTGTCAATAGACCCAATTTGGGTTAAAACCAATCTAAATTAAAACAAAATTGATTAAATTGAACAGTCCAGACATTGAATTGGACTGGTCCAAAATATTCACTGGGTTGGATTAAACCTAATCCACTTATAATGAATTCACATTAGACTGGACCGGATCAGACCAAGTCCAGTCGAATTGACACACCCATATATATCGATATATCAAATGACCACATCAAGAGGCAACTATTTGCCTAAAATTTTAAAATATATAATTTAACTAGGTTTCTGATTTTTTCCAAAGGGTCCATTACTGGTGTGTTCGTATTACATTTTAACCTTTTTTTATTTGAACAATCTTTTCAAGCTACATTTCTACATTTTTTTGCATTTAAATCAGTAGATTTGAATTGTTTTTTAAGAAACTATATTATATTTGGTTTGGATTAGATTTTAAGATCACATTTCTTTTTTTCTGGTAAGAGATTATATTATCAGATTGGGCAACTGTATGATGATTGTAACGGTTTTCCTATTCCAAAGTAAGTATGACTGTATTTTCTTTTCCCTAGATGGGCCTAAGAATGTTAGGTATAGCTTTTATATCTCGGGTTTGAGACAAGTGATTTATTTAATAAATTCTTAAGGTGGTTGCCCCGAGACCAGATCTGCTCCTCACATAGGGCGCCACACACGCACCTCACACACATATCCTACCATGCATTGGGAACATCTCCTGTGCTTGTAAGTTATTTTTCATGGGAGATGCTCTCAATGCATGGTGGATGTGCATGTGAGGCGCCCAAGTGTGAGGAGCAGATCACGTTCCAGTTGCCTCGAGTTTGTATCTGCTCTTCATAGAATGTTCTCATAGCACAGATCAGTCACGTATTGGGAATATCTCTCCATGAATAACAACACATAGGTATGGGAGCAAGGTTCAAAATATCGATAGGCCCGATATGTCGATAGGGGTGTATCAGGCAATATTGATATTTTCCTTTTTCTTATGTTTTTCAAAACCGGTTCAGGGGGCCGGTTTAAGGCTCCTCCACCCCCTGAACCGGTCAGAATTCCGATACACTCCCTGTAGGGGCGTATCAGGAAGTCACCGACACGATACGTATTGGCCGATACGGGCCAATACGTATCAATACTTTGAACCTTGTATTGGAAATGTTCTCCATCTATGGCTGGGACATGTTGTGAGGTCAGTGTGAGGAGCGCTCTATGAGGAGTAGATCCAAACTCAGTTACCCCTCCACCTAAAGTAAAGTTTGGGCTAATAAAAAAGATTGGGCAAACTATGTTAAAATTTGAGGTACTCATAAATATATATATATATATATAAAGAGAGAGAGAGGCTACCTATTTTTGACCAAAATTAAGGCATTGGAGCATAAGATAGTTGGAACATTTAATGATGGGTCCACTTGCAATGATTTCAAACAAACAAGATGAGTGCAAAAATAGTTTAAAATGTGAACATTGTTTGCATTCATGAAACGAGAAAAGGGTAAATATGTAGTGTATATATTTGTGGCTGCATTGCAACCAAACACAACCTAAAGAAAAAGTCATTTATTTTAAAGATTGTGTTGTTCTATATGTTTATTTCAATTGGACCATTCCGTGATAGTCACCTTCATATTAATCCAATATTTCATTTGATAAAAAGATGGGAAGGACCCATTTTTATATTGGACTAATTTCTTAAACTACTCTTATAGTTTAGCTAATTGACTAACTCTACCCTTATTGCTTACATATTGTCTTAAACTACTATTATTTCTAACAATTGACATGGTCGGTAAGTACTAACAGAGAACAATGAAATGTCAAATTTACCCTTCACTATTCTTCAAATTTTCAAAATAAAACTCATATGATGAAGATGGTTTTTTTGTGTGATTTCAATGCATAGAAACCATTGAAACTTGCCTCAAATTTACCCTCATGCACTCTTTCAATCTCCATCGCCCCTTATTCTCTCTCTACAATTACCATTGAAACTGAACCAAAGCAACCACCAACCCCGCCCTTACAGCTCTACCATCTCTACATCTTTCCTTCTCCTAACCCCTTGCTCTCACCATAGCCCAACACCATTTCCACCTCTCTCCTTCTCCCAACCCCTTACTCCCACTATTTCAAAATCGCAGTTTCTTTAGGTGGGAATGAAGCTTTGGTTCGTCCCCATTTATTTGTTCGATTAGGTGGAAGAATCTCACTTCAGTTTATTTGTTGGATTTGCTACAAATGAGAGA